GTGGCCTTGGGTGACCAGTTGGTGCATACCCACACCTAGGGCAGGTCTTCCTCACTCAGTCCACTGCTCAAATGCCTGGCTTTCCAAAAACACCACCCAATAGTCCCAGAAATAATGCCTGCAGCTAATCTGTGTGCCCTTAGCCATGATCTTAATATTTGTGCCCCTTCTGTGTGGGTCAGCAGAACTTCATGAAAGAAATTCCCTGAATTTCACTTTTAATAAGGGTAAAGAGTCACCCAACACAATCCTTGCTAATCAACATGCTGACTGTGCATCTAAAACAAACAAAGCCCAATTTTGCAATCAAAACAGATTTTTAACCTTGGAACTGTTTGAATTGGCCAGGACTCAGACATCAAAAGACATGGACTTTGCCTAGTAGCTGCCCTTTCTGAAGAATAAGCAGAGTATTTCATTTGTTTTTACCATCCAAGGTAAATATCCTCCCCAAAGAAAAAAAAGTTTTAAAAAAAGAACTCCTGAATTCAATGAGAGGAAGAAATATATATACTTTGTGGGAATTGCTGAAGGGATAGATGCTGAAAGAACAGTCTGGCAAGTATGAGAAGATCCACGTCTCACCCCTGTGTGCCACCTACAGTGTGGGAGGCTTCAGCAAGTTGCTGTGTCTTGCTTCAGTTTTCTGTCTGAGCTCCCTTGGCTGATATAACAAAATACCAGATGGTGGCTCATAAACAGCAGGGTCTCATTTTTAACAGCCCCGGGGGCTGGGAAGTCCAGGATCCAGGCAGACTTGGCATCTGGACAGGGGTCAGCTTTGTAGCTCACTGACAGTGCCTTCAAGACGTGTCCCGATGCGGTGAGAAAGAAGAGGGTTATTTCTGGGTTTCCTTCATCAGTGCACCAACCCCATTCATGAAGACCCCATGTTTTTGATCTAATCATCTCCTAAAGATAACCCTAACCCTAACCTCTCACAGTACCATCATCTCAGGATTCAGGATTTTGACATGAATGTGGAGGAATGGACACAAGTATTAAGATCACAGCACTCACATGCATCAGGTAGCAAGAGGCCAAAGTGACCAATACAGGCTGTGGCATGTGGGGAACAGACTACATTCAAGCCAAGACCCTGAGGAATCACCAACTCTACAGTCTTTGTAAAGTTAAACACGCCGAGAACATCAAGCTTCCCCCATCCAATTTAAAACTTTTTCATTTGAAATAGAAAATAGTTCCTTAAATTGGGGGGGGAGGGGATGAAATTTACCTGACAGTTTTTGCTTTGGCAGCACATAGACTAAAATTGGAACAACGCAGAGCTTTTTGGATTGAGGCAGTCAGAAAGAAAGAAGGGACCCAGGAGAGAAAGCAGACATGACCCACAGGCTTCTGAGAATCCACCCATGATGTTTAGCACCTGGAGCTGGATCATCTGACCCTGTGATGGCAACAGGGACCCCATCACTGGTGGGAGACAGACAGCCCCCTCCCAGGTGTTGTTCTGTTAAAATTCTCTCTGGAGTGGCACTGGGATGGGTCCTGGGGCAGGGCTGGCACAGGCTCATGCAGAGCTTCAGGGACAGGAGAAGCCCCCAGCAAACAGCAGTCTAATGGGACTGGTGGCTTCTGCTCAGCACCACTGACTCCTATTTCCAGGAATAAGCACCTGATGGATGAGGGGCCTGAGGCTGAGTGTGACAACCAGAGGGGCTTGGGCGCCTCTCCCAGAAGCCAAGTTCCCGAGCAGCCCAGGAAGAACTAGCACTGGAGCCCAGGAGTAAGTCCCCAGGAAGCCAGTTTGAGGAACAGGGACCCTCTGCATGTACAAGCAGCACAAGCACTGACGCTGTGTCCCAGGGAGCCCTGGGACGTCCCTGGAGACCCAACAGGAAGGGTGGCCACATCACTCCCCAGAGTCCCTGTGAGTGCAGGGCTGTGACTGAGCCTAGAGTGGAATGACCACCCCACAGGACCCCTCGTGTCTTCACCAGTGTTGTGATGACGACTGCAGGGACCTTTCCAGAGTGGCAGCAGGAGTTTCCCGTGGGCACAGAGCCGGGAGGTGGCGGGGAAGACTGACTCGGCCACACGGAGCCTGTGTTAGGTGAGGGCCTCGTCTCTGAGCTCTGACAGGCTAAGGTGCTCAGGCTCTGCGTCCGTCTCGGGTCCTAGGATTGGCAGTTCCACGGGCAGAGAGGGCGGAGGGGTGTCCATGAGAGCCTCGAGGAGGGGCGCGTTGGATGCTGCCTGTTGCTGAGTGGCCTCTGATGACGCCTCGCTGAGGTGATGGGCTGTGACCCCCAGGTTCGGCTGTGACCCAAACTTCCTAAGCCTCACTTCCCTTGTTCCTTAACAGCTTAATGTTGCCTAATGCCACATCCTCAGTCATTGCGAGGTGCTGAGTGTGAAGTACATGGCATGGTGTCCGGTGCAAATTGAGCACCCACTGAAACCCTCCGTATTTACAGGCATCACTTCTTTTAGTGCACTTTGCTTTACTGAGGTCAGATTTTCTACTTTTTACAAATTGAGTTTTGTGTTGCCCCCAGGTTGAGCAAGTTTGTGAGTGCCGGGTACCCAATAGCCCACGTGAATGTTAGCATTTTTTTTTTTTTGCAATAAAGTACATTTTAGTTAAGATTTGTACATCTTTTAGACAAGATTCTGTTGCACACTTAGTAGAACATGTAGTCTACTTAATGTTTTTTTTTATGTATTGGGCAACCAGTAAGTTCTTGTGATCCCCTTTACTGTTGTGTTTGCTCTGTGGCAGGGTCAGACAGAAACTTCTAGGTAAGTCATGGTCCCAAGGCATGGTCTCCAACCTTTCTTTTTTATCTTTTCCATGGCATTAACCTTATTTAATCATTAGCCTATGGTCAAGGACAGATAATCCAAGCCAGGCACCAGTCTGAAAGTGCACAGAGTCCAAACCCAACCTTCTACCTGTCTCTTTAAGACCTATGAGCTAATGGTTTTCTTATTTTAAAAGTTTGACTCCCCACCTTGGAAAATAATCAATAGGTGACTAACATTTTGTGGCCTCTGAAAGTTATATGAAAATCAAATTTCAGGGCACATGAATATAATTGTATCAGAACTCAGCCACATCATACATTCTTGTGTTATTGGTGGTTGATTTGGATCCACAACGGCAAAGTTGAATATTTGCATCAGAGACCACATGGCGAGTGAGCCTGAAATGTTTAAGACCAGGCCCGTCCTAGCCTTTGCTGAGCCCTGATCTAAGTTATTACAAGATAATGCATGCTTCAAACTTTCCCCTCCATCAGTCCAAAGGGTTCCCACATTATGAATTTGAGAATACCCCAATTCCATTTTCTCCCAACCATCTTGCTGCAGAAGGGAACATTGCTTCCATGTTCTATCTGGTTATTTCAGTTTTGCCCCATATCCCACCATGTGTGGAACAGAAGTGGAGAGCTTTGACAAAGGCAAGAAGCCCAGAGAACCAAGACTTCCATCCCACAGGCTCTTACCATTTTGCTGAACTGATGGTCTTCACCAAACCTCCAGGATCTCAGTGAAAGGGAGATGCCTGTCAGTCATGCGTGAGCCCTAGGGGTGGCATCCATGCTTTGCACACATGTGATCCTAAAAATCTCAGCATGATATCCTCCCATGTGAATTGCACTCCCAGTTCCTCTGGGGAAACCGAGACTCAGAATGACAAAATCACTTGTCAAGTCTAAGTGGGGGTTACAGAGGTGGGGGGTGCAGAATGCACACAGACATCCCCAGTCCAGTTCCTCACATCCTTCAGCACACCATGGTTAGCAAGCTCTCACAGACTGCGTTCCTAGGAAGTGTCTTCTTCAGAGCCACAGGGAGCATGCCTTCATCCATTTGAAAACATTGGCTTAGAGTCTGTTTAGGATCAAATCAGTCTCCTTGAGTCGGAATAAAGGGAAAGATAGAACTTAGTTCCTTTCATTAGCTAACTGAGCAACTTTGCAGAGTTTCTTTTGATTTCTGAGCCAAAAATATTTGTTCTAAAGAAATCAAGAGCCCAATGGATACCCTACCATTTTTCTTCTTTGAGTTAATTTGACACCATCACGTCAAATCCAGGATACACACATCAGAGGGAACAGAAATCTGTACGTGTGGCAGGTAGTGGAACTCTTGTTATTTATTAAGCTAGTCCATCTTTGATTTGGTTTCTTTATTTTCTGCTTTTTGGTGACTACTCTTAATGTTTTTCATTCTAGTCACAACATCTCCCAAGGACAAGGGCAGTTACATCCCTGAATATCTATGAAGCTGTGAAAAATATGTGAACATGGGTTCTAGAGATTTGCCTATGCTGTACCCTGAGGGCAGGTCCAAGACACTGTGAGTGGGATCGAGGACACCCTACCCTCTGTGTGTGCTGGGTGGACACCAGAGAGAACCCATGATTCCTGTGTTGTTCAACTTAATAGTCCTTGTGTACAAGAGCACTTGACCATCTGCAAAAAAGTATTTTTCAGAACCACAGTTGGTGTGTACCCAACTGCAAGGATGGTAGGAATTGGGTTAAAAGCAGGGTTCTGTGTCAAGATGGAGTCTTCCCTGGGGTACTCTCTGAGAAAGGTGTGATGGATGCTGCTGAACTTGATTCCCCTGGGTCTTCACAGTTCCAAAAAGAAAAGAATCCAATGTTCACGGGCAAGCAGAATTTGTCATAATGTCATGAAATGGCCATAGTATCAAAAGAAATCTACAGATACTATGATCCAAAGTTTCAGGGAGGCAAAGGAGAGAGGAACAACAAGAAGGCAAACTTTTGAGTTCTGTTTTTTAGTTACGCATTGGACATCTGCAGGATGGAGGGAACAGTCAGTCAGGGCTTTTACCAAAATGGTCTTCAAAACCCTTTAAAGAATCCTAAGTGACTTTTATCATCATATCCTCGTGTAAGAGGTGTTTCCTACCGCAAGGCAGAGAAAGACACTAATACCATAGAGCACAACTGCTTGTTCTCCAAAATTCGTAAGTTTTAAAGTCAACTAAAAGTAGGCCGAGGCAGAGGTAGAGGAGTTTATTTAGATTTTAACTTCATTACAAGGCCATTGGGGGAACATTTAGTAATACCTACAACAGGCCAATGAGAGAACAGTCAACTTCAGTCAAGTACGACCTGGGAAAACTCTTACCTTTGTTTTTTGTCATTCTTGCCAAATAGTGATTTAAATATGGGAAAATTGGTGAGGGGGAAACCCAGAGCCGTCTGCAAGAAAACAGGTAACTCAACTGTGTTCCAAGTCTCAATTCAACTCTGAACTACTCTGTACGTGTCAGCTCAGACAAAACCGTATGTTAAATGCTGGGTAGAAATGAGAGTCTATAAACATATCACACCATCCACCATTCATGTGAGGTTTAAAAGTTCTACCCATATCACTTGTTAGTTATGCTTTACACAGTACTGGGAATGAAAATAACACTGGGTTGGGAATCATACTCCTGCAGATCATCATCATCCTCATACATTCTACAGATACGTGTAATAGAAAAGGAACATTAATGGCTTGCAAATTATACTTCTTGATTTAAATACTAGACACAATTGTGGGTGATATTCTTATTATGTTCGTAGGTTTCTATGTATTTAAAATATTGCAAAGATTTTTTCCTTTGGGTCCCGGGGAATTGAATTCAGGGACACTCAACCACGGAGCCACATCCTCAGCCCTGTTTTGTATTTTACTTAGAATCTCGCTGAATTGCTTTAGAGCCTTGTCCTTGCTGAGGCTGGCTTGGAATTTGTGATCCTCCTTTCACTGCCTCCAACGCTGCTGGAATTACAGGCATGCATCACCGTACCTGGCTTGAAGTATTACAAAGATTTTATTAAAGCTAGGATATGATGAAGGGAATAGGGGAATCCCAGTAACTTTTAACAAGCAAGTGATAAGAGAAGCAAAATGTATATTTCAAGGTCCCAGAATGAAGAAACCGGTTTTTAATTTTTTCTCAGAGCTTTATAGTTTATCATAGTGATTGGGTTCATCCAGAAAGACTCATCAATGCATGGAAATCAACTTTAGTTCATGATCCCCCTTTCCCTGTGTTACCCCTCTCCTCTCCCATTTTCCGTTCTCTACTCAACTAGATTTCCTTTTGTTCATCTGATAATTTATATTTCATTGGCTCTTTATGTTATTTTCATTCACATCCTCTTTTCTGTAGAAATGGATTTTATGCTAAGAATGCCTCAGTTGTGTACACATTCCATGACATTAAAAACAATGAACATATCCAGAATTTTTAGACGTTACTCCCATGGGAACAGCTCTTTGGGGAAACCTGCCATCTTCTCCTGGTAAACTTTATCAAAGGCTTCAGCTTGGGCCACTGTGAGGTGATTCTTCCAGTCCCCAGAGATGCCTGGAAAACATGAAGTAGATGCAGATCAGATCTAGGGAGAGGTCTTAAGA